TTGTCTGAGATAACGGTGAGATTTTAACGGAAGGACCAAATCGGGGTAAAAATGGTAAACAGTAGGGACCAAATCAGGGATTTTTTTAGTTCAGGAACCAAATTGGGGGTCCGTACAATAGTTCAGGGACCAAAAAAGGGTTTTAACCTTTTTTTTTTGAACTGCTAATTCCGGAGTAATATTAAGAAAAGAAATCTTCGGTAAACAGCGGCATAATATCCAGATTCCAGAAAACTAATTTTGATTCGCGGGAAAATGGACGAATCGTCACTGGCTCGGACTTCTGCAGCGGCGGCAGATGAGACAGATCAACCGTCGGAGCTAGAAGCTCCAATCCCGGAACCTGGCGGCGATCAACCGACCACCACTCCAAATACCGCACTGAAGGCCCAAGGGCTGGACAGTAGCGAATCGAAACCGAAGTTTAGCCAGAGCGATATACTGAAAGCCGTAGAGGTGGTGGAGAGAGATTCTCTTGCCATCGCCGAGAGCTTCTCCTCTCTCTTTGCTTCACTTCGTTTGGCTCTTTCTGAGGTATTCTTTCTTTTTCTTTTATTTTTTTCTTCGATTTTGTTTTTGGTTCTCCACTCTCTAGAAACGATATATAGGAAATGAAAATGAGATTTCCTCAATGATCGAGTCGAGTATTGTGTAAATTGGTTGATCTCTTGCTTAGAATCTGTTTGGTTGCCGATGGAATTGTGAAAGTATAAGAGATTATAGATAGTAATCGTGATATTGTGTTTTTCTTCTTAGGATTTTAAATTATGAGGAAAATTCAGGATTCATAATTGGAGATTTATGCCAGTTTCACTGAGATAATTATTATTCAGTGCTGATTACTGTGAAAAGTTTGGTGGAAGAAGATAGTCTAAATTCTTTTCTGTAGATGAGAATAGTATGCAAATTGGATGATGGAAAATAACATAATTCTTGATTTTATTTGAGTGATTATTGGTGTGTTTGCCTGTTTGGCTTGGCATTTGAAAAATATAATGTACAGTGCCTCTAGTGCTGCGGCTAAACTATGAAATTATTTTTTGATGTAATGGTGTAAAATTGTCTTCTTTTACTTGGTTTTCTAGGGATGAAATGGACATTTTTTGAGAATTCTTTTAATATTTCCTAAAATTTTTTAATGATGTAAAATATCTGATGGAAGAATGAAATATTGTAGGTCACTAGCTGCTCAGTTGATCATATGCAGTGCTTTGCTGATGCTGCAGGGTATGTTCAAGATTCAGGTAAATGACATGTTAAACATAGCCTTGTTGTCTTAGTTGTTGATGTGAGAACAAGAAACATGGTTACTAGAATTATGATTGCATATTTAATGTTATTGTAAAATATGATGGGAATCCTTGTGATATTGTCTTCAATATCCAAGACTTAAGCCAAAGTTTTTACAATACAGAGAAATCCCTCTTTGTTTACGAACTATCAATTTCATCAACACCAAATCGATACCAACTATAAAACCTACCATTTGCTTATTCTAATAAAAATGTCCAATCCTATATGTACCTGCCCCTGAATGAGGTAGTGAGATAATGCTCTTGGTCAATGAGTTAATTATGTCATTGATGCTTTTAAACAGAGCACATAGATATTGAACTTTCATGGAGCTATAGCTTGGGCTTGATTTTATCTGTTGCATTAGTTAATAATTCTTTCAGGTTCTGATATAACATGTACTTCTTTTTGCAGCACTTGACGCAGCCACAAAGGGGAATCGGTATGTAAATTCATGCCTCAGGTACCATTCCAGCACCCTGCTCCCTACTGCACAAGATAGTAGGAGGAAAGATTAAGACAAGAAGGGGGAGAAAACAACATAAAAGAAACCAAAATATAATCTTTAAGAAATGATGGGAGACTCAGGGAGTTTTGAACCGTTTATGGAGGGTAAAATGTGTTGGGGTAGACAGACATGGATCTGGCCTTTAGTAACCCATTTATGTTTTGCAGATTAAATGAGGAAATGAAGAGTGCCGACACCTTAGCCATGCAGGTGTATCCTTCTGATTTTCTTAGCATGTTTTGTGGTCCTTTAAGATTTATTTGTTTTATTTGAGATAAAAGTCCTGCTTATCTGACTAACAGACTTTCCCATGAAAGGGAGACAGCTAGACACTTGAGTCAAATCGAACCTTCTGCATTTAGCACTGTAGTTATTGAACATTTACTAGAATTTATCTTCTTTATAGAATAGGAATTTTGTAAATCTGGCTTCTCATTTTTGGTGTTTCCTTCACTAAGTTCTTGTAAAGAAAAATTCTGAGGAGGAATGTAGATGTTCTAGACTCAGCTGTGAACAAGCTATTACGTCTGCCATGAGGAAGAACTATCAACTACTGGTTGAACTTATTGCTTTGCATTCAAGTAAGACCTGCTTTACTTTGTAATGAACCTTTTAATGATGACAATGTTCATTTCGCATTTCAATGCAAGTATTGTATATGTATTATAAAGTAGCAGCTGGTAGCAAGCAGAGTTAGCTCAAAACTTTTCCTTTTCCCCATCTACCTTAATTGCATACCAATTTGAGAGTACTTTCAGACTAATGCTCTGTATTACAGATTTAATCAATATATGGATTCTCTATTTTTCTGATTTCTGGGGTTAGCTTTTTCCTTGATCTTTGCAGTTACCCCTGTAGTGAATTTGCTTGAATGAAAAAACAGCAAATTTCTAACATGATTGCAGATATGAGAGCATAGAACAACAAAACATGTGGAGTAACGGCCCAATAGATCTTATACCTGAAGCCCAACGAAGCCTACTTACGTGAAAAAGACCTCTTGATATCTTTCTTGGACCCATTTCTGTAAGTCCAGATATTCTTTCAATCATTTAGCTCTGGCATTCCTACTGGCTCCAAAAGCTCTCTTTTGCATCCTTATATTCAAAAGTCACTGTCTTATTTTGGTATATATATTTTTTCATTTATTTCTGGCTATTTGTATTTTGTGTTTGACTTTTAAATGAAAAGAATATGTAATAGAAAGGAAACAAAAAATTATTATGGAGCTAGTTGGGCTGAAATCATGCTGCCTTCCACGATGCTGGTCGGCTAAAATAATAGTAGTTATTTTGATTTTTTTTAATTCCCCTTAAATTGTCAGGACAAAATCAATTACAGTATGTTTGGATAGAGGGAAATAGAGAAGAGAGAAAAAAATTCTCTATTTGGTTATCAAAAAAAATTGTAAGAGAGAAGAGGGAAAAAATTCCCTTGACTTTATCTTATCTTTTAATTTAGTTACTTATTATTGTTTTTTTTTTTAATTTAGTTACTTGTTTAAATAAGAGAAAATGAGGGAAGTGAAATGGAGGAAAATGGAGGGGAAAATTTCTTCTCCTTCCCTTTCCCTTCCCCTCCATTCTTCTCAACCCAAAAATAGGGTTAGAGTTAAGACCAAACAATTAGATTAAAATAATAAATAAACAACATAATTTGGTTAGTGAAAGCACTATTGACCATGCTTATGGGCTCGTGAGGGAGTTGTAAAAGTCTTTGTTAATTGATCAAACAAAATATTAAAAATAATTAGCATAGTAGATAATGTTATTCAGGTTTAAAATTGGCATTTGCGGAATATGGTGGATGCCAACCAAATAGTACTGCCAAATGCATGATATTTTGTTAATTATCCACTTTGTCGTTACTATAATAAATTGTGTGCCTAATCAAGCATTCCTTTTATAATATGATTTAATCCAAATTAATTTAATTAGGTAGTCTGCCTCATCGAGTGATGGAGACTTTGAATAAGAATGGCCTACATTCTTTAGGATGGTCTCCTTTAAGGGACAGACTATCATATAATTGGCTGCAGGAAGAGCACCGTATTTCTGAGAATGATATGATCTTCTTGTCTTGTACATTTGGCTGAAATGTGAGGAAACATATATTTATAATAATTATTTACTTTTTGCTTATGAATTTGATTTTTTTGGTTTCGGCTTAGTATACGAGAAGTTAGCTACTTAGTAATGGATTTTTGAACATTTAATTTTTTGTTTTTTTGGCATTTACGATGCACCTCGAAACTAATCTATCTTCGGCGATCTTAGACA